AAAGTGATTTTACCTTGTAATATTTCCAGAGAAATCACGCATTCTATATTTTTCTTGCATAGCACATTGAAGTGTATTGATTTGGGCCTCACACAGTTTGTAATTCAAGCAGGGGCTATGCTGAGATTTACCTTTCAATTATATATGTAAAAAAATAAAAACATGGTAAAGACTGAAGGAGGATGTTTAAATCTCTTTAAGGAGTCAACCTTTTAGTTATCTAATGCATAGGCAAATTAGGAAATATCCTCATCTATTCATTAAAATAAATCTCCTATAATGGTATTTACTTGCCAAGACACAGGATTAAATTGGAATATTTGTGTATCCTTGAAAATAATCTTAAAAATATTCTATATCTGAGTTTTCACTATTACAGAATGGACTTATCTTCATATAGCCTCAGCTGGTGAGATTTTATTTTCTTTCAGTTTCTTCTCTCCTTGTAATGAGTTCTTTCTAATGCTGACTTTCTAGTCTAAACTTATTCACTCTGGTATTGTCCTTAGGCATCCACAATAGTTGGTCAGTGCCCTCTTTATGATAACTCATTATAGTTAAGGATTGTGCATCTTGGCTCTCTTTCACCAGGTTAAACAACTCCAACTCATTTAGACTTTCCTTGTAGGCCTTATTTTCTAATGCTTTAATCTATTTCTGCTTTTCTCTGAATTTTCTCCAATGCTTTGCAGTTGTTTTGAGAAGTAATTTGATGAGCAGGCCTAATCTACATTTTGGCATTGGCTAAATATTTAATAAGGGACTTAAAATTAAGAAAGGTGGTTCAGTGTAGGGGCACAAGCACTGGACAAGGAGTCAGAAGATGAGTTCTGTCCTTGCTCTGCCACTTACTAGGATTGAGCAGAGAGCCACATTTGGTCAAATCATCTAAATGTCTCTAATCATCAGTTGATCATCTGTAAATCTGGGCTAAGTGATCTGCCCTGCCTACCTCCCACAGTGAGGCTCAAATGAGATAAATCTATGTAAAAACACCTTGTTTAGTATCAAAACATTATTCAAACATTGTGTGTGTCAGGCTCCTTTTGTTATATATATTCATTAAAGTTCAGATACCATTCTATAACCAGAAAATGGGGGCACAGATAATTAATTTGCTCCATGTCACACAGCTAGAAAGTAACAGAATCCATGCAGACTGGCTCCAGAGTCCACTATATGCTATGCTGCCTCTACAAATAAACATAAGAGCCATTCGTTTTATGGAGTCTAACCTTCAAAAGCAGTCCACAGGTATATATTACTGGGATAAGAGGATCTATTCAGTCATGGGTAGATAACGGTATGAGAAGCAACCTTTTTAACAGTTAATGTTCAGATGGGTTGTTGAATTAAGGCAGCTGTCCACCAGTGAGGAGTGCCTTATGAACAAAGCAATGCAATAATAGGATTGTTACATCAGGTCAGGTCAATAGTTCATTCATTGTAGTACACACACATCTTCTAGTAGAAGGTGCTCTTATTTCTTAGATTCAGAATCTACAGTTTCTCAATATTCTTTGTGAACCCTGACAACCCTTCATGCTTTCATTTGTCTCTACCTCTGTCTTTTAGTATGTTAATTCTTATAGCTATAAATTTGGAATACTTTTATTTATTTATTTTTTATTGTTTAAAATATTACATATGTCTCATTCCCCCCCCCCCCCCCATCCAATCCCCTAGCACAAGCCCCCACCACGCCAGTATCCATGTCCATTGGTTATGCTTGGGATACTTTTAAAAATAGGTTAACTGTTAAGGACAAATATTAAAGACAGATAGATACCTAATGGAGTCTTTTTATTTATGTTATAGTGTTAAAGGTTGAAAGATATCAAACAAACTTTCTAAAGAAATGTTGGAAGAATTTTGATTTGCTCCATAAGTGTCTAAACACTCACAAGGAAAATTACTGTAGAATCTAATTTTCCTTGTGAGTGTTATGGAGAAGTTGTGCTATATAATACTATATTGATGACCTGCTCATATTTGAACAATTGTACCATATTGAGGTCTTTTCATTATCACCCATTTGATATAGTGTACAATATGAACTCACATTATGTCAAAATCTGATCCATAGGGAATAAAGTTATAGTGGTGTAAATGGCTCTTTTACCTCAGATAGTGGCATTAAGGGTCATTTTGTGGGAGGCTATATAAGTTTCCTTCCATGAAAATAACCTTCCCCTAAAGCTGAAAACACCTTTGAAGAATGAGGCATCTTTTGGAAAAACTGGATACTGACTGAGTTTTAAATGTTATTCCAACCCATGATCTGTATAGTGAATTAAGATAAGTTTGCCAAGAATGGCTAGGAACCAATGAGAAAAGTATTATCTCTGTATATTACTATAGCATTTATTTAAAAATATTTTCTCTAAAGAAATATGTTGAATTTTTTACTTAATTTAAATAATTTATTTAATGAGAAATCTATTTTTATCCAAAAAAACTAAACTTTGGCAATTTTACAATTTCATTAGAATAGGCTTGAGCAGATAGCCACCATCTTAAACTATTGAGAAAAATGTGTGTTTTAATGATCATATCATATGACTGCAGGTAATATTTTGCTCCTTGATGGAAGCATAGCAGTGAAAAGTATTGAAATGTACTTATTCAATATTCAGCCATTTATCCATTTATTTACCCATCCATCTATCCATCCAACACTATGGGCCAGGTATACTGTTGACACTGGTGATACAACAGTGAACAAGACCAACAAGACCCTTACCTCAAAGTAATTATGCACTAGTAGAAATTTCTTAAATGGCAACAAAAACAACCATGAGTTGACAGCTTTATGACAATTTCTTAAAAGAGAGAAAAAAATATGTGAAATTAACTCCCTAGCCTTACCTGGATTTTGCTAAAACATTTCTTTGAAAAATGCTTCCTGAAAATTGTATAGAAAGTATTTTGAGGGATACTGTAAATGTTTATATAGAAGAAAGGAAGATAGAAAGTAAGACATGAAAAGAGAGAACAGGGTTTTTGAAAAATGTTACTTTGGTTTTCCTGAAAAGTGTTGAAAAATAATGATTATTTTCCCATAGCTTTTTATGCTTTTTGAAGCAATAATACCAGCCATGTGAGTTAGAGCAAATATTATTTCCCCCATTGTATAGATGAGTCAGCTGAGGCATAGATATTTAAATGCCCAATATCCCACAGCTATATAGAGTTCAGAATTTTACCCACTTCTTTTTCTATTACATCATGCTGAAAAATCCCAGACTCCAGTACAAGGTCTTATAAAACCCAAAAGATATAACAAAATGTAAGATATTCAGAAAGCCAAAGTCACTAGTACAAAAGAAGGAAAACAAAGTACCGCAAGGAGGATGTTTCTCTGCTGTAGGCTATTAAGTAGGTCACCCACTAAAAGGCTATTTTGGTCTAAAATTTTAGAGGGCATGTAGTACATACACCAACATCACTGACCTGATTCTTCACTTTCAAGATCTAAGAAAATCAAAGGCAATTTTTTAAAGGGAGGTGTGGGTCATTTGGATAGCTCAAGAGAATGTTAGTTGGGAAATTTGATTTAGCCAGGCTAGTGCTCTAGATTTTCTGTGAGGTATGATTCACTAGAGGTGATGCTGTTTTAAGATGGGGACAGCTTTGTATCTCTATAATGCAGAGTCAGCAGTTTCTCCCTCCCTCCCTCCCTCCCTCCCTCCCTCCCTCCCTCCCTCCCTCCCTCCCTCCCTCCCTCCCTCCCTTCCTTCCTTCCTTCCTTCCTTCCTTCCTTCCTTCCTGCCTTCCTTCCTTTTTTTCTTTCTTTCTTTCTTTCTTTCTTTCTTTCTTTCTTTCTTTCTTTCTTTCTTTCTTTCTTTCTTTCTTTCTTCCTTCCTTCCTTCCTTCCTTCCTTCCTTCCTTCCTTCCTTCCTTCCTTCCTTCTTTCTTCTTCTTTCTTTCTTTCTTTCTTTCTTTCTTATTTCTTTCTTTCTTTCTTTCTTTCTTTCTTTCCTTCTCTTCCTCCCCTCCTCCCCCCCTCTTTCTCTTCTCCCCTCCCCTTCCTCCCTCCCCTCCCTTCCTCTCCCATTTCTTTTCTTTTTTCATTCTCTTCTTATGCAGGCGCATCTGACAAATTGTTAATATTTAATTTGCTATAAAACAGCTCTCCCAGACAATGGCTGTTCACTATAATTCCAGTCTCTGAAGCTGTTTTGACCCCCAGGTACACTGGGATTGAATTAGAATGGAAATTTTTCCCTTACAGTTTTGTTTATGGAACCATAGACACTTTGTTATTATCTGGCAATGAAACTACTAAGGAAAACAATATACTTTCACCTCATTTCAATTTGACTCTTTACCTCATTGTATCCATCTGGCTTAGGGTAAAACACTTCTTCTAATATTTTTAATCTTAAATTTAAATATCCAAGCTTAAGAATGATTTTGCCTTAGTCTAAATCTTCTAAATCTTTTTCACTTTGTTCACATTTTAAAAACCATGAACTTTTTTTCTCATATGCTATCTTAAAAATAGTCTTAGATTACATACATAGTTGCCTCTCTCTCCCTCTCTTTTCTTCCCCCCCCCAAAAGAGGGACGGTTTGCAAAAATATACACAAATTTGGAGATTAGTGAATACTGCAATTAGGTTCCTGAAACAAAAACCCTGCCCTTTTGCCTTGCCTGATTCCTTGTCTGTTCCCTGCTGGAAGGATAAGAAAGGAAAGGGACTACTTTGAAAGATTCAGCTATCTATGAAACAGAGATGTGGAAGGATGTGTTTATTTGATAGGTAACATTAAATTGCAGAGACTTCCAGATTAATCATGGTAATGCAATTTTCAACAGCTTAGATTTTCTTTCTTTTCCTGCAGCCACTGGGGAGGAAAAAAGGATTAGAAAGACCATAAAAAACCGTTTGCATGTTTAATCTGGTTGGGTACTTAATTTATTAGCAGAAATGTGAACTGCCTCAGGATGATGATTTAACATGTTGGCTGAGGGGTGGAATAAATCTCACACTTACCTGTTCCAAAATTGTGTTAATCCTTTCGACTTCGCAGTCAATCAGGTATCGCTTTTCCTGTCTCCTGTCCATTTCTTCAATGATGCGCCTGAATTCTTGGACGTCCTTTATGTTTCCCACAGACCTTGCTGTCACTTGCCAATTGTTTTGCACTGCTGCTTCCATAATTGCTTGGAGGATGGAAAATCCTGAATGAAGGAAAGACAGCCATGATAATTTTTTTCTTTAAAAAGTCTTTCTGTAGGTATTAAAAGTTCTATTGAATTTTTATTCACATTTTATTGGGTCTCTGTGAACCTTATCTATTGTGTACAGTAAGCTTAGCCATAACCTCAGCCTTAACCTTCCAGTTGGCAACTCTATCTTGTTTTAAAAGGGAGGAAGATTCTACAACTTGTGGCCACAAGGCTAGGTATTTATCAAGCCTGTACTTAATCAATCACAGCTGAATTTTTTTTATTGACATGCATTATCAAAATATCTATGGAGCCCTAGGTAGTTTTGCTCAGTGGATAGAGCATTGGACTACAGACTGAAGAGTCCTGGGTTCAATTGCAGTCAAGGGCATGTACCTTGATTGCGGTTGCAGGCTTAATGCCTGGCCCTGGTCAGGGCATATGTGTGAAGCAACCAATTGATGTGTCTCTCTCATGTTGATGTTTTTTTCTCTCTCTGTCCTTTCTCCACCCTTCCACTCTCTCTAAAAATCAATAGAAAAATATCCTTGGGTGAGGATTAACAACAACAACAAAAATCTATGAAATAAATGTCAAGATCTTTCTTATATCTGACTACAATCATACCTATTGTAGTTGAAACTCATTTCTTTCATATTTCATAAACATTCTTCAGAATAAAGATAGCTTTAGTAGAGATAGAACCTTTTTATAATATAGCTAATCCTTACATAGGCTCAGTTTTCTTTCTCATGGACTACTACCAATCCAAACAAAGTAAATTATATATTTCAAGTAAAATAAGAAAACCTGACAAAAATTGTCTATTACAAAGATATACAGATTCTTTGATCACAACATTATGAAAAAGTTCAATCATACTAAATCTTCCTGAGTCCTTCTCATTTCTCAGTTAAATTTACCAGGGATTCTTGGTTTCTTTTTAGTTAATTTATATCAGACAACTATTAATTATTAATTACTAATACCCCGGATCTATGCCAAATGGAAAAGAGAAAAAAAAAAGTCTGATACTTAAGTTTTGGTAACCTTTTTGGAGTCAGGGTTTGAGAAGTTGGGAAGAATAGTATATCTTAAAATATGAATCACAGAATAGTACAGAGGTCCCTATGTATTGGTCTTTTAGGCTATTCATGTCTCTAATTTATATCATGCCCCTATTTTTGCTTCTGGTATTAGTCTATAATTTAAGTGTAATTTAATCAACTGCTCACATCATGTTATTTGGGCTATGGTCAAAAGTAACTTCCTTCCTCCCATAAATTTATTTTTTTATTTTATTTTTTAAAAATATATTTTATTAATTTTTTACAGAGAGAAAGGGAGAGAGATAGAGAGGTAGAAATGTTGATGAGAGAGAAACATCGACCAGCTGCCTCTTGCACACCACTTACCGGGGATGTGCTTGCAACCAAGGTACATGCCCCTGACTGGAATGGAACCTGGGACCTTTCAGTCCGCAGGCCAACGCTCTACCACTGAGCCAAACCGGTTTCGGCTCCTCCCGTAAATTTAAATGATTTTCCATTTATATTTAGGTAATGACTAATAGGAGTGGGTGATGAGGATGATTTGCAAAGCCAAAATGATCTGTGGAATAACAATTTTGCTACAGAAATAGAAAATGGAGGAAGCTTGTGCTGCCCTGTGAGCACATTCCAGGTTCAGTGCTATCTTGAGCTCACCCTGTAGTATAAGCAGGCTATGGTTGGGAATCTTCTTCACTGCATCATAGAAAATGGTATTGACATTTGGAGATCACGCTTCAGGAAGATGACAGCAGTGACTCAGCCAGTCATTACAACTCCTTTGTGTGCTGGGTGTATGCAGGAAGAAGATCACAAAAGAGACCCAAGCACTTGGTAATTTCCAAATAGCAATTTCAGCACAGGAGCTCAAAATTACAGGTCAGAGTACATTATCATTGTTTTAAATGTTAATTCTTACTATTTTTAAGCCAATCACACATATTTATTTCTCAGATTTACATATTTGTGTGGGTTTTCAATGTGCTCTTTGTTTCAGTGAGAGTTGAGGACACATGGTAGGCCCATGGGATTAGAAAATAGGCATAGGTAGAAAGAGATTAAAGTATTTGAAAGTCTTTCTTCAGCAGTATACAATAAGGCCTTATTATTTTGAATACCACTAATTATCGATAAGAAATTACGAAAACTCACCAAAGACCAGGTTGAATTTTACTTTGGTACTATTTATGAAGAAAGTATTGACTGAATAATAATGCCAATGAAATTACACAGGGTATCTTCAATATATTTAAATTAAACATTTAAAAAGACCATTTAGCAAAAGAAAAGTTTTTTGTCTGTTGATTCAAAGCTTATATTCTTATAATCTCTGCTATTTAGTCCAGTTCCACCATTTTGGGGCCTAAAGTATAAGTTTAATCCCTTTACCATGTGACAATCCTTCACATTTTGAAAAACAGTTAACATCTCTCCTTACCTTTTTTTTTCTTCAGGCTAACCATGTCCTAATTCTTCAATAATTACTTTTGTGACATGATGATAGGTTCGCTCACTATTCTGTCTTGTCTGGGTATTTGTCAATATTTTATTGATCCTGATATTTCAGATGTGATCTGACCAGTGTGGATGACAATAAGATATTGCTTGATTTATTATACACTGTTATTTTATTAGCCTAGGATTGCTAATATTTTTCAATAGCCACATTATATCATTAATTAATATCAAGTTTGGATACAACTAAAGCATGCAAGTTCTCACTGTAAAAACCTCTGCTCTGTAACAACTTGCCATCCATATATCAAGATTCTTCCATTTCAATATACTTTTATCTTTTCTTTAATTCCTTAACCCATCCCAATCCTCACTTCTTCCTTGCTTACACATTTGCTCAAATCTGGAAGATGGTCTTTCCTACTTATTTAGTATTCTCCTTGTTACTCAAGGCAATTGCACCTGTATGTCCCTATTTCTGGCACTTCCTGCTACACATAGAACTTTGTGGATGATTCTCTTCTCATATGAAGCTTCCCATACTTATTTCTCATTTATTTCCCCAGAGATGAGATTTAAATTCAGGATAAAAGTATTATAAGCAATGAAGAAACAGATTTAAAGTACTGTATGACAGAAATTTAAAAACAAAACTGGAAAAATAAATTATACTCCACACACATGAGGTACTATACTGCTGTTCAAGAAATAGCTCAATCTCTATATAATAAAAGAAATATTTCTGTAATATATTATTACATATAAAAATCCACAAAATAACATGTATAGTATAATTTCATTTTTGTAAAAACATGTTTGTATATGTATAGGAAAAAATTAGAAGGCATTTGCAGTGGTTTTCTCTAGGGTGTAGGATTACCAAGAACTTCGACTTGCACTGTCATCTGTTTATCTAATGCCTGGCTATTTTACAAGAAGGAAGTATCATTTTCTCTAAGAATAAAAACAATAAAAGTTAAAAAATACAACTCAAGCTGTTATCTCAAAGCATAAGCTCCTAGAAGAAAAGCATAAGCTCCTAGAAGACATGGATGGCACATGAGTGCAGCTCTATATGTTGCCTGCTGCCACAAATGAGAGGCCTCTTACTAAACATTGATTTTATACATCTTTTTTATACTTGTTTTTTTAACCATGTGAATGTATTACCTATTCAAAATTACACTGCTTTCATTTAATGAGCTTGGGTTTGGGGCCTCCTGAGCTATGAGACTTGCTCACATTTCTGAGCAAGTCACAACTGTGGTTTAATACTGCAGTATCTGTTATGCAGTTTCTCTGTGTCCTCTTGAGTATGTGGCTGCGTACTTGAGTATGTAGCTGCGTACTAGGGGCAGTGATCACCTCAATTCAATACATGCCAGTGAACATTACAACAACAGCTTGTATTTGTGCCTAATTTATTTTACTTTGTTCCCTGTTGCAGCTGATCAAAGAGAATAAATATTAGTTTGAGGGAGAGAAAAGGAAAGTTTGTCTCTGGAGAAAGAGCAAAAGCAGGCATTGGTGCTTATAGGAGGTGAAGTGTGTAGCACCTCCTATATTTTTGGCTTTGTTAAAATAAGTTTGCTCTTTTAGCAGCTTCAGAATTGTCCTTCACTGTGAGTGAACTTTAACATGCCCAACTTTGCAGTACTGAAAGTTACTTTTATTTAAGCAGCAAATTTTCTCATCCTGATTTCAGACCACTGTTGTTATCCACCTTCTTTTTCATCCTTGTCTTAAAGAATGGGAGTTACACATAGGTAACTGGCTGAATGCTATCAATAGATTGTAATCTGAATTCAACCAAGATAATATAGGAGCATGACAATAGAAGAGTGGCAAGGTGATTGGGATGAAGAACAGGATGCAGCTATGACCAATATAATCTTACTGGATGGTTGTCAAGCAGTTCTTGCTATACAAGGGTGCCATCTGGGTAAAGGCTAGTCTAAGAATGGTATGCTGTACCACCCAAGTCCCCCTTTAGCACTGAATGACTTATTTTCCTAGCTTCTGGAATAATTGTTGGCTGAAGAGTGCTACATAGCTTAAGGTTATATTTGCTTCCAAGGTCAGCCAGTATCTAATAACTGGTTATATTGAGAGTAAAGGCACAACCCTTTTACCCCAAATGGGGTGACTGTAACAACTTCAGAGCTCTTTTAAGGGTAGGCTGAGGTCTTGTTATAACTGAACCACAGCCTATCTTTCTGCCCAAACCTACTTTCTTCTTTCCCTCCAAGTGTCAATAATGAAAGTACTACTCCCCAGTAAACTTTTGCATTCAAATCTCTATCTCAGAATCTGCTTTCAGGGGATTTAATCTGTGGCCATTAGGTTGACCTCATGACAAGGATGGAAACATACAGAAAGGTCTCACATCTATAATTGCCAAAACCATTTTCACAGTGGGAAAGAAGGCCAGGATTTTGCTCAATGTACGAACAAAATAAAAACTGTCACATGCTGAGAAAATTTAGCATATGATCTGAAGACACAGAA